TATATATTGATTTATTTCTTTGCAATTTACTTACCCACTCAAAAACAAATAAAAAATAGGGGCAATTCAGTTTTTTGTTTTTTTTGTGATTTCTAATAAAAATTTTATTGAAAAAAATGTACTAAAATAACTAAAACAGAACCAAATAATGAACTAAATAGACATTTAAAAAACTAGTAAAAAGCACAAAAATAACTGAAATTAAAAATTAAATTAAAATAAAACATATCTACAAAAAACATATCTACATACAAAAGAAAACTAAATATATATTCAATATATAGCTATAATATGTAACCACAATAGTATCTCAGTGATACCAAAATAACACTGATAGTTGACAATTATGAGTTGATCACACTACCAAAAATTAAGATTAAAACACACACACACACACACACACTAATATTTATATATTTATCTGATTCAGCTGCTTTAGTTGTTACGTTTAAAGAACAGTAGGCAGTATAAAGTATACTGTATACTACACAGTATTCATTATGCAAGTATTATATTCTGAACACAGCCAGCTTCCTTTCTTCCTCAAGGCACTGATAAAAGGTTTCTCTCAGCTGGAGATCTTTAAGAGAGCAGTGAACGGTCAGACAGGGAATGTCTTTCAAGAACAGAAAGGCGACACCTGATATCGTCCTCGTACAAAGAGTAATATTTATATATTTATCTGATTCAGCTGCTTTAGTTGTTACGTTTAAAGAACAGTAGGCAGTATAAAGTATACTGTATACTACACAGTATTCATTATGCAAGTATTATATTCTGAACACAGCCAGCTTCCTTTCTTCCTCAAGGCACTGATAAAAGGTTTCTCTCAGCTGGAGATCTTTAAGAGAGCAGTGAACGGTCAGACAGGGAATGTCTTTCAAGAACAGAAAGGCGACACCTGATATCGTCCTCGTTTGCGAACATGATGATGGCCCGGGCGTGGGGGGTCTCCAGGAGGCGGCGGATGATCTTGTCGAATTCCCCAGGCCTCGGCTCCCGAGGGATCTTCAGAGACTGTGCGATACACACGCCACCTAGACAGAGACAGAGACGGAGACGGAGAATTAGGCTTTGTTCAGTCTGCACACAAAATCCCATTTGTTTTCCAAATCCAGCCATTTGCAAGTGATGCAGTCGGGACTGTTTATTCACACGGTGTAGTCAAAAACATGCATAGCTACATTGTTTGCCAGAATAAAGACAGATGATAACAAGAGAATGTTATTAACTATAATTCAACATGTACATTAACTTTTGGGGGAAAAAATTAAATAAAAATAAAATAATTGTATTTTTAAAAGAAATTATTCATTTATTGGGCAAGGATGCATTCAACTGATCAAAAAATGACATTAAAGACATTTTTAATGTTACAAAAGATTTCTATTTCTGTAAATTCTGTTCTTTTTATATTTCTAATTATCGAAGTGTCCTGAAAAGGTATCACTGTTTCAATTAAAATATTAAGAACTGTTTGCAACATCATCTTAATAATAAATGCAAATAAGCACATTTTAATATTATTATTGATGTTATTATACATTAAAACTTTCAACATTATTGTAAATTGCAATTTTATTAATTGTATAATATTATAAAATTTAAAATAAAATGTTTCATAATATATTTTAACAATCCTATGTATGTATGTATTTATTTATTGAGGTATTTATGTATTTATTTATTATTAAATTGATCAAAGTGACAGCAAAGTAATGGCTGCTGACAATTTAAAATAAAATGTTTCATAATATATTTTAACAATCCTATGTATGTATGTATGTATTTATTTATTGAGGTATTTATGTATTTATTTATTATTAAATTGATCAAAGTGACAGCAAAGTAATGGCTGCTGAAAATCCAGCTTTGCATCATAGGAATAAATTATATTTGACAACATATTCAAATTGAAAACAGTTATTTTAAATTGTAATAATATTTTACAGTTTTCACTGTGTTTTTAATCAAATAAATGCAGCCTTGGTGGGCAGAAGAGGCTTCTTTCCAACCTGAAACCTATGAATGGTAGTATATTTTAATCTGGGATCAGCGTAACCAATAAAATCCATATATATAATACATTTAAAAAGTAAAATAATCGGAAAACAAGCAAAAATGAGAGTACCAATATCAATACTGGATTTCATGTAGTCGAATTAAGAAAAAAATACACAAGCAATGGTATTTCCGCTGCCTGTCTGAAGGTCTTGTAGTTAGTCTATCAAAATGACTTGAACATTTACAACCGATTGCTGTTGTGGACATAAAAGAAATACTTTCCATCAAGCTCCATCATTCAAATCCTGTCTCCAGGTGCTTGACATCATTTATTCAAACTTAACATGACAGACTTACAAAAATCAGGTCTTGACAGGCCATATTGAGGTGGACAGAGTCATATTTCATATTTAATGTAAGCTGTAATATCTAAGCCTCCGTCCCTTCGAGAGCTCGATTATACCATTAACGTCCCGAACGGGGGTGAATGATGGACTTCCTCCTGTAGTCTCCTCCTGTTACAGTCCATGTAATGAGCGCCGGCGTTTTCCTCAGCGAGCCGTGTCGCTGTATGCCAAACCAATGCGGCTCCTTATACGTTCTGTCACAATGACAAATACAAATTAGCCTTAATTAATGCCTCTCACAATGGTAATCACCAATCTGTTGCGTTCATGCCCTCCTCCGATCCATGATGATTGTGAGTTTACGGGAGTGCGATATTTGCTTGGAGCTACACTATGGAGGAAACATGTAGAAGAGCCGTTTCTGTGACTTTTTTTGGCCACAAATGGTATTTGTTCAAATTTATGCTATGACGCTATGAACAAAAAAGTAGCTTTGAAGCTAGGCTTTTTGAAAGAAATTTAGCAAAGATGCATTAAATTGTTTAAAAGTGAGAGTAAAGACATTATTAGAATGATTTCTGAAGGATCATGTGACTCTGAAGACTTGAGTAATGATGCTGAAAATTCAGCTTTTCATCACAGGAATAAATTACATTTTATAATATATTCATATAGAAAACACTCATTTTACATTGGAACAATATTTCACAATGTTACTGTTTTTATTTTTTTAATTAATGATGATTATTATTTTGTAAGCCCATTTCCTAGATTATATTGCACAATTCAGACTTTGTTTCTTGCGATTCTAAGAAGAAAATAAAGTTGGAATTACGAGATATGGAAACTGAATATCAACCAGATATAAACTCTGAGAAACAAAAATCAGAATAGTTGACATGTACATTCAGAATTGTGAAATGTAAACTTGGAATTACAAGAAAAATAGTTTATATCTTGCAATTCTGCCTTTTTTTTCTTGCAATTGCGAGTTTTTGATCAAATAAATGCAGCTTTGGTAAACATAACAGACTTTTACCCAAAACATTAAAAAAATTACAACCGCAAACTCTTGAACTGTAGTGTATCTAACGTGGTAATATTTGTAAAATACACACCTATCGAATGATATTTACACACCTTAGTTAGCTCACTGCAACATGATCAAAACCCTTTCGTCACACTACAACGCTGCCTGCTGGAAAAAGTAGCTTGCTACAAGAAAAGCTACACTGTTCTGAAAACAGCTAAGCTACTGTCACGCTACCGAACCAATGTAGCGACAACACGGGGCACAGAGCATGTCTTTCTAACTCACTGATGTCTCTCCAAATCTCTTTCCAAATACAGAATGAGGCTTTTATGCGCCATAAATGGGAGAACATCAAAAGGCCAATGAATTAGCATTCCAGAGCTTGGTGGCTTTTCAACACACCAAATTCCTTGTGCATTTTGTGCCTTTCCATTTATTCGGCGTTCAATAGCAGAAACAGCCGTCTTTGTGTTGCGCAGGGACACATATTCAGCTAAACGGTGAGGAAGAGAAACACTGGCTTTGCTAAAGCTCATAAATCGATTGCATGAGCAGACATCAGCATTGCAGCATGTTGCAGGGAGTGAGCTGGAAGATTTTGGGCTTGAGCACTGAGATAAGCAGCTCCGCCTACCGGTGACTAATGCATGTGCCCTAAGTGTCAAGCTCGCGAAATTAGTCACTACACAATTAATATGCATGAACGATTGCATTAAAATACGCCCAGTTTATTTTTAGTTCTGATAGATCAGAAAGAATAACTGTGAAGCCGTCATGCACTCAATCAGAACCTTCAAAACAATTCATTGCAACAATACTTGAAGTGCACAGCGACTTCTCTAATTGTTTAAAGCAGCAGTTTGAAGTCATTTAAGCAGCTCGTCTGATAATAAAATGATCCCTCCTATATCAGGGACACGACGAGCTCCAGCGTCTCTGCTAATCTTTAATGATTGGATTTTCACTGCTTTATGAATCATGAATTATCTCATTGTATCCAACCTCGCATGTCGCCCCTCAAACACACACATGGGCTGGCTAATGCTGTCATTTATTTCCATTGCTGGGAAACTGAACACCTAAAGTGAAGCGATTCACGTTGGGTAATTAACTTTCTGTTTGATAGCCGTTTGGTTTTGTGACTGACCGAAGGCAACTATTTACTGTCTGGCACACTATAGTGCATTCATTCTATACAAAATGACTTTTTATATCAATTTTATACCAATTTATCTTTTAAATTGTAGCATGTTTGCCAGATTTTCAACCCCTAAAATGATTTACATATGTGACCCTGGAGCACAAAACCAGTCTTAAGTCGCTGGGGTATATTTGTAGCAATAGCCAAAAATACATTGTATGGGTCAAAATTATAGATTTTTCTTTTATGCCAAAAACCATTAGGATATTAAGTAAAGATGATGTTCCATGAAGATATTTTGTAAATTTCCTACTGTAAATATATTAAAACTTAATTTTTGATTAGTAATATGCATTGCTAAGAACTTCATTTGGACAACTTTTTTTGCACACTCAGATTCCGGATTTTCAAATAGATGTATCTCAGCCAAATATTGTCCTATCCTAACAAACCATACATCAATGGAAAGCTTATTTGTTCAGCTTTCAGATGATGTATAAATCTCAATTTTGAAAAATTGACCCTTATGACTGGTTTTGTGGTCCAGGGTCACATATAAATTAACATTTCTAAATTGTAAATAAAGATGAACTCAGTGAGTCTTACAAGAAAATACTATCAGTCTTTTAAAAAAATATTTGAATTATGAGATAAAGGCAGAATTACGAGAAAAATTTAACTTTGAGATGCAAAGTCAATTATGATATAAAGTCGTAATTATGAGATCAAATCATAATTATGAGAAGTAGATTCGGAATTATGAGATAAAAATGTAATAATTAGTAATAAGGTTGGAATTATGAGATATAGTCATAATTATGAGAAATAAATTTGGATTTATGAGACAAAGTCTTTTATGAAAAAAGTCAGAATTGTGATATATAATAACAGAATTATGAAAAAATACATTTGGAATTATTAGATACAAATTCAAAACTTCAAAATTTCACATTTAAGTCAATGTGTTACTTGCCATTTCTTTGGAATTATTTGTGAAATTTACTAGCAATTTCCGAGTGGAGACTGATTCAAAGTCAATTATGATAATTTTGAAAAAGTCCCAATTAAGAGAAAGACGTAATTATGAGAAAGGTTGGAATTATGAGATACAGTCATAAATATGACTTCTTACTTGCCGTTTCTTTGCAATTCTTTGTGAAATTTACTAGCAATTTCTGAGTGAAAACAGTTTTAAAGCCATTTTTAATGTACTTTTTGGAAAATCCAGTGAATTAAATACTCAAATACCCAAAACAGTGACACTAATATTATAAAACAGACCAAGCTCGGAAACCAGGGCAGGAAGTGTCACTAAAACGGTCAATGAAGTGGATTTATTGTTAATGCATATTGAGCCTTTTAAGCGAAATGCAAACAGGAAAATCACAAACATTCATTTGGGCTCGAGTCATGACACATATGCTTAACGGAGATTTGATTCATTCCACATTAGAGCCTGTGTGACAAAGCATGTTTGAGGACGGTAATGGCAAAGAACTCAGCAGCACAATC